CGTAGGGAAGAGACAGGACAGGGACAGGGCAAAAGAGGGAATAGGCAGAAGAGTCTGCGTCCAATAGATTACACTCAATTCCAGAGCCTGGAATGGAACCCAAGATTCCTGAATGTCACCATTCCTCTGCTGTCAGCAAATATCTGTGAAACCCTCTGGCAAAGCATCTCATCCTCTTCTGGTGTTGGTCCACATGCAAGATGACAAACTACTACTGCTATCAGTTACTCCATTGCTTCAAGTAGCAGAGATCTGTGTGATGGATCTAAAAGTTGCCTGTGCAACCTTAATTTGGTCCCCTTGTTCAGATGCATGATGATAGTCTTTAATTACAGGGTCACATGCTATTTTTTCCATAGGATCCCTCCCTGATTCAGTGCACAGGATGAATCTGCTTTGCTTTATATGTTGCAGAAGTTGGAAGGTGTGTAGAAAGGAGGGAGGAAGAGAAAGGATAATCTCATGGTTCAGACAACAAGGAGTCTGGTGGCACCTTAAAGATTTATTTGGGCATATGCTTTCGTAGGAAAAAAACCACTTATTCGCATCTGAAGAAGTGGTTTTTTTACCCACAAAAGCTTATGCTCAAATAAATCTGTTAGTCTTTAAGGTGCCACCGGACTCCTTGTTGTTTTTGTGGATACAGACTAACACAGCTATCCCCTGATGGTTTAGACAGTTAAATGCTATTCTAGAGAATTGAATTCTACCCCTGCTTGTGACATAAAATTCCTATGTGATACTAGTAAAGTCACTTAAACCAAATTTGTTTCTGTTAAGTACTCTGAAAACTTAGGCCCAAGGTGTCTCAAATTGGGCACCCATAATTGGTGAATACTGTTTACCTTAATCTCTTTATGCCCCAGTTACCCATCTGTAATATGGGGATAATACTTCTTCACCTTACCTGGGTATTGTGAAAATAAATTCATTAATATTTGTGAAACACTCAGACTCTAGTGATAAGCACCATAGAAAAAAAACACAAGGAAATTAATAATCCTGCCTTAAAACCAGGGTTTGAATAGTTTGCAGTAAATAAGGCCTAGGAAACACATTGAAGAATGAGGAGAAAACAAAATATTGAATAGCTGTTCATTAATTGAGCACTGTCTGTTCTATGCACTGAATGAAACAGGGTCCTGTGGAGAAACTAGTATGTGATCATGCAGTTCTTATTTGTGCCAATGCTTGCCAATTCATAGCTGTGGCACCTCTGCACTTGCTACATCAGTTATGAATGTAAAAGAAATTGCCTGAGCCCTGACACCTCTTTCATTAGAAATTAAGCACTGTGATCATGTAATTAAAGACTGTATCATAATGCATATGCAAAAGAGATCTGAATTAAGACCATACAGGCAATGTTAATTCTGGCATTTCCTAACTTTTGAGTTCTTAACTTTGCAACCTTAATAATGGTCTTTCAATTTTTTGTCTTTGACTATTATTTTACCTTCAACCTCACTGTCTCATCAATGAAGAGAGAAATTGAAACTCATTAAATATAATTTATTATTCATATTTCTTCAGAAGTGTGTTAGGCACTTTCCAGATAAGGGCTGGGATTTCAGGATTTTAAGGGAGAGAGGACTGTATTGTGCTCTGCATGAAGTGCAGGGGTGCACACACCCAGTTCGGGTACAGAGACACATGCTAGCTCTGCTTGAGTTAGCACGCTAAAAATAGCAGTGTTGCATGAGCATTTCAGTTGTAGTGTGAGCACCTCTCTGAGTACAACCCCTATCACCCCCTCCACCCCCCATACGTATTTGGGCAACTGGGCCGAGCCACTGCTTGTGCTACCCTTAGCTTGAGCAGAGGTAGTGTGCGTGTCCTCACTGAGAAATGTGTGCCCAGCTGCAGTATAAGTATAAACATACTCTCAGAGCTCAGGGCAGAATTGAGGCCTAAGCAGCAGACACACAGACAAAGGAGGAGTGGTGTATGTAACATAAATGATTGAGCAGCGACATTTCAAGGTTATCATTTCAGTTCCATGATTGGTGAATTTCTTTTGTTTTTGATAGTTTCTTTTGGGTTTTTTTGTTAATACTTTTTATGGTGGAAGAGAGGCTCTATAGCCCAGCTCCAGTGAATTATGTTTTGTATATCATTTATACTATAGCATTTTCAGTATTTTTGGTTTATAACATATTGAACATTTTGGAGAAAAGAGGAAATGCTTCAGGTTGGGGTTTTTGTTGTTGCCACTGCTGTTGTGTTCCTTTGGTTGGTTTCCTTCCAGCTTATGCGATCTGTCTCTTTGGCTATGTGTTGGTTTCTTTGGAAACGGCTGTAGGATGTATTTTGATTGATTGATTGTGTTGTCACATGGATTGTCAGAACTGTGAGCATTTTGGAGTGGTAGAGACGTAAGTGTGATATTTTCCCCCTTCTATTTAAAGTGGTGTTTTTTAAATTGTGCAGCCAGAAACAAGCTATATTGAATATGGAGAAGATTACACTTCTGAAAATTTTTATTAGGAAATGATGACGTGATAACCAAATTATTTAAGTAAACCAAGAAAATAATTTCTATTAATATGAGGAAGGATTTTCTAAAGTGATTGATGCAAGTAGTAGTATACATTTATTATTTCTCCATCTTACATTTTTCTAGAATACGCATCACTGTGATATCTAAGTGATGCGTATCTTATAAATGGCAAGAGCTTTACATTTAAATCTGAATCATTAACTTAATCTGTAGTTGTTATGGATAACAAACACAAAGCAGATCTTGTCCTGAACCTGTAAATCACATTTACTAGCTCTTCACACATCATACATTTACATTTTATCCCCATCTACTGTGACAGGTGCAGAGGATCTATTTCTATGTCTTTGGCACAGGTGTATGTCTGGGTCTCTTTCTTATCTTGGTCAGAATTCTACCAGGCAAGCTGTCCTCAAGCCTGCGAGCGGCTGGTGCTTTTCTGATGTTTCTGGTGATGCTGAGGTCAGGGGCAGATTGTCGGCTGGAGGCTAAGGGTGACGTCAGTGCGTACCTTGCTGAGAGAGTTAATCTCCCACTGGCAAGAGAGAGAGAGAGAGAGACAGTCTAATAATCATCTCACTGAGGAGATTGGCACATTTGGGATCACATACTGTACACTGTTTTTCCGTGGCTACAAAAGAACGGGCAAATACCACAATTACTAACACTCTACCGATACATGTGTGTGTCTGTAGAGTGTTTTATAGGTTTAAGACAAGTTCTGTTTTGTGTTTGGGATCCACAGCAACTACAAAGAAAATTAATGTTTCAAAGGTAGGTATATCTATTTATATTTGTGTACAGAACTAGGTTTGATCATCAGGACAATAAACGGAATCTGTTTCTCTTAGGGACAAGATTACTGATGTCCAATTTGTGAACTAAAAAAGTGACTCGTAAAATTTTAGAACAAATATCACATAGTATAATATTAAATAGTAGAAGTTAGGTTTTTGTTCTGATCAAGGCACACAAGCCCCCTCTGTAGAATACTGTATTTGTTAATAGATGCAGCCCACCAGTCCAAAATATCATAGGGATAAAGACAAGTCATTATATTTTAGCATTTCTTTGATGGTTTTGATAGAAATGTTCTCTGATTCCTCTTTGTGAGTTAATGTGCCTGTATTCAGAACTGTTAGGATTGCTGGTCATGGAAACTATGCTGAAAGGAGAAAAATAGCTGCTAAGTTTGTTTTCAGGCTTGTTTGTGAGCTGATGTAACATGCTCTTCACAGGCTTCTGTAACCCACAGTAAACTGAACTGCTAGTAAATTGCCTTTTAAGAAACATTACAGACACAATTTTTAGCAGTGTTTGCTCATGTTGAGGTCTCAACTTTAGGTTGACCGATTTGAGACCAGATGAAGTCAGAGGAGCTGTTGGTCCTCCTCGCCTCTGAAAATAAGGCACACAACTTCTTAAGTTGGGTCCCCTGAAATTGAGGCATACAAAATTAATGAATGCTTCTGAAAATGTTGACGTTAATTGATGTTTGACACTGAATGTGGTATGAGGCAGCAAGCTACCACTTGCAACTCCTTCCCAGTTTTAATTGCATTAACTGGGGGGCAGGGTATCTATCTATAGCACTGCACCAGAGCAACACCCAACATTCATTTTTGAGGAGTAAATGAATCTCACACTGATGGGCTCAGATAAAATAGATTGACATAAACTGGATAGTGGACAGATAGATGTGACTATTCTTTTCTTTTTTAATAGCCAGGATTATGTAGTCACAGAAAATACATTAATAACTGCAGTGAAGATAAGAGGCTATTTTAATTAATCCAGTTTTGGCTGTCAGAATCACAACCCCAGTCTCACAGTTGTGTCTCCTGCTCCTCTTCCCCAAACTTCCACTACCTGAAGAAGAGCTCTGTATAAAGTTTGAAAGCTGGTCTTTCTCACCAACTGAAAGCTGGATCAATAAAAGCTGTTACCTCACCCACCTTGTCTCCCTAATATCCTGGGACCAACAGGGCTACAATAACACTGCATACCTTCCTCTCAGACAGCTCTAATCAGCCACAGCTTGAAGGTAGATCACACATCTAACTTCCCAAACATTAAGCCTTGAGAAACAGCAATTGCTATAGTACTGAAGTTTAAGAAAATGAAACAAGTGCTTATAAATGTTCAGTCCAATCTGGTTTTATTTATAATGACTGTGTCCCTGTCTGCACTGCACAGGAGCAGATGCATGTATCCTGTTCACGTGCTAAGGAAGAAGGGACTATCTCTTGCCTGGGGAAGTTGTTAGGGCATACCAGACTTTTGAAGGCTCTGATGTAAAATAAAGACAGCATTTTCACAGTCCTTTTAAAAGTCAGTGTTAAATATGACACCATAACGAGATTTGAACAGCAGAAACTCCCAGCTACCTACCCCTCCTCTCCTCTCCTCCACCCTCCTTTCCATGGAAATTTGTAACAGAAGGAGGAGTTTGTTAGGGAAAAATCTCACCTTAGTTTACAGTTTGAGGCGTGACTGCAGGATCGGAATCACTCTGTCTCAGACAGGGAGTTAAATGAACACATGGTATTTTTATCGCTTTATTTTTATTCCAGCAGCACGCTTTCTTTCTCCAGGTTGATCGGCTGAAAGGAGGCTTTGGTGTTGATCCGTTCTCTCTGGCTTTAAAAACAACAATAACAACAACAACCCACCAACAACTCACCCTCACCGACTGCTAGTGACTAAATGCTCAGGCTGAATTATACAGTCACATATTGAAGGCAAGGGAGGAAGAGAGCGAGCTGGCGCTGCTACGTCTGCTGCTTCTACGGGAACTTTTGAAAATAAATCTTTACAACTCTTCTTCAGATCCACGTGAAAAAAGCAAAGCCGGACTGCAAGAGCTCAGCGTTGCCTGTTGCAATCTGTAATTTTACGTTGCATTTGCCTTTTTATTTTTAATTTTTTTACTTTCATTTTGGAACTGCTTCCTCAGCTCCTTGGCTGAACTTTGGAGATCAATGGACCTTTTATATCTCCTGCCCGTATTTAAACAAACTATGGACGCTTAAACTCCCCCCACCCCTGCTCATGGGGCGAACGCTGCACGGCCGCAGCAGAGGGAGAAACACACAGGCACTTCTTTAGAGACGGGGGGACAGATTGCAGTGATTTCTCATCCTCACGGATTCCCCTGAGTCTCCTTCGCTGCTGAGAGTTGACCCGTGTGGTGTTTTATCTGATTCCCGCAAGATTTCCCTCCTCTTAAAAAAAATACCATGCGTTTCTTATCTATAGAGAAAGCTATATGGAAAGAGAGGCATACAGTGAGCGCGTATGTGTTTTCATAAGACTATCAAGAGAGCAGATCAGAAGCAGCCCGGATCCTGACCCTGATTGTATGAATAAGTAAGCAGGATGCTGACGATTGTTAGTTGCCTGTAAGGTTTTTATAAGCTGGGAGGGAGGGGGGTGGGGGGAGACCAGAGACACAGAGCAAAGGGGGGAGGGGGGAAGCCCTTGCACTTTTTCTCTCTTTCTCTCGCTGTTCCCTTCACTGCTGCTGCTTCCCATCACTGTGGTGGAAATTATTGTTAGCACCCCTCTTCTCTTTCTCTTGGTGGTAGTTTGCCGATGTGCACACCGGATTCATCTTCCCGCACCAGCTGCAGCAGCAACGGGATCAGCAGAGCGCTCGGGAGGAGGCAGCCGGCGGAAAGGATCCTACTTACCCTGGCCCCGGAGCCCTGGCAGCAGCGGTGGAAAGTTTGGCTGGGGGCTGACAGAGGCGAGAAGACGCCCTGACAGGCGAGATCCCTAGTCAGAATACACCCCCCCCCCTGCGCCCACCCACCCGGCAACTTCTCCCCTGCAAGGGGAGGGGGTGGAGAAGGGGAAGCAACATTCTCCTTCTCTATGGTATGCCCATATGACTGGGGACACCTAGAGACCACAGCATCTCAGCGGAGCCTTTAGGTGGAGAAGAGAATTTTTCCCTCCACCCCTTGCCTTCCTGTATCGGTCCAGCGTGGGCAGCAGCTCAGTCCTAATTCCTCTCTGCCCCCTTGCCCACCTCTGTGGTAGAGGATGAAAATGCTTTGCTGGAGGGTGGCGTTGTGGCTGGCTGGGTTGACTGCCTGGGGGAAGCTCTCCTCCTGCTCTGGCCTTGATTATGACTACACTTACGATTTCAATGAAGAGGATAAAGCTGAGGCGATAGATTATAAGGATCCTTGTAAAGCCGGTAAGTGACTTCCAAGGCTAAAACTGTTACCCCCCCACTCCCTCCCCCAGGTGGTGACTTTGTCTCTTTTTCTTTCCGATGTGTGTATAAGCTGGGAGCTCACCTGCTTCCTCCTCTTTGGGAGGCGAGGCCAAGGGGAAGTCTGAGCGGCAGCAGCAAGTGGAGTTGGGCTCAAGTGCTTTGCTGTGTCACTCGGTGGGATTTCTATAGACCTGCTTTCTCAGGGCTTAGAGTTTCCACTTTCCTTGCTCTTTACAACTGTGCTTGGACGACAAAGTGCTTTGAGTGCACTTTTCAGCAGATGCTTCTCCACCCCCCCCCCGCCACGATTTATTAGAAAGCCTCGAATAAATCCCAGAATTGGACTCTCCGGGAGACGTTTCCAGTCACTGCAGTCTTGGGTTGGATAGAAAGGAAACCTGTAGAGAGGCTACTGGACACAACCTCATTCCTTGTTATAGCGCTATCAGAATAACTGGTCCATGGGGCTGATCGCTAAGTACAACCCCTTCAGCATCCCCCCCCCCTTCTATTTACAGCGCAATATTGTTGCTGCTTCCCATCGGCAGCCACTTGATTTGGGAACAGCTGAGAAGAACTTGTAAGTTTCAAGGCCACTTTAAATATTGAAAGTGGATGATTCCAGTGAGATTAGCTCTAACGTGCGCCTCGCCCTGCCTTCCTTGCACAATCAAAGCTACCCTTTGAAGTCAGGAGGAATGTTGGCCGTCCAGAAAGGCAGGATCAGGCCCCACATATCGCGCTGTAGGTTTGTTGGCTTCTGCTTGAGCGCCAGGGGTAGCAGCAGCAAACCCCCCACCCCCCCCAGGCTGCTGCTCGCACATGCTGTAGGCTGCCACCACGTGAGGAGAGTTCCTGTGGCCCCCCTCCTCCTTTCAGCAGCCTGTCTGGCTGTCTCTCTTTTCTTTCAACCTGTTTCTTGACCCATTGTCTGTCTCTTCCATTGTTAACGGCTAGCACTCACGTTGAGCGATTACTAGAAGCAATACGTTTCCCGTGTGAGTGTCTCGGTCTTGCACTAAAGAGCCACCTCCAATGGGCGGCCTCTCTTTCCCCATCCTCGGCTACCAGTTGAAAGTGTCTCCCGGCTTTCCATCACAATTGTGCCGGGTTCTAGTTAAGGACAGCTCTTTTTGTGGATTGACTTTGATGGTCCATTGGATGGTCTCTTCAGACTGGTTTTCCTATGTGTATTTATGCCAATGCTTACACAGACAGAGCCGGAGAGGAGAATGAATGGGAGGGGGTCGGGGGATTGCTACATTTAAACCACATTCGTTGGTTGTATTCACTATATCGTTGGCTAGTATTTGTTGTGGTTCAGTGTAATCAGGTTGGTAGCCACAGTCAAATAGAAATCTGGGCTGTCTGTATTCTGTGTACTGATTTGTCTCGAGAAATAACCTCCTTTCTTTATTCCCAATTAGACTTCTGTCATTTCCCATTGCAAAGGGAAGACCTGGTTTTCTATAGTATTTGCTGACTGGGTGACATTGGTTTTAGGTTTATAGGTAAGGTTCTGTAAGTGAGTAAAATAATATCGGGTCCAATCCTACTTCCATTAAAGTTAATTGCAAAACTCTCATTGACTTCATTGGGACCAGGAGCAAGCTCACAAGTTACTTAAATGAAAGAGTGTACCTTGTTACTTGCAAAATTTGTTGTGGACACCTATTCTAAAGTCATGGTGGTTGATTCACATCAGCCTTGGTGTAAAATAAGTGTTTTGGTTTTGTAGCTGTCTCCTTTGCATTAATTAGTTATTCTATATCCTGAAACCTAGTTCAGCCAAAGGTTGTGTTCTCTGTGTGTATGTGAGTTTGCTGAATTTGAGGAGAATGCGGTGAATACATATGCCAAATATGCAGACACTGTGTTTTTCTAATCACAAAACTATTCCTTTCTGAGGTGTGAATTGCTAATATTCTTTGCTTAGAGCTGAGGAATGTACAAGTTCAAAAACAGCAGAATCAGCTACAAACAAATCTTTATTTACTCCCATTAAAAACATGCAAGAAACTTTGTATAAAAAAGACAGTTACCTACATTTTGACCACAATTGATTTGAATTCTTTTGATGTTTTCTGGGACAGGTTTTAAGTGAGATTTCATTAATTTTTTCTTTCGTAAGAAATGTTTTTGTATACACTCAGTGAAGTGAAATGCTTGTAGGTTTTTTTGTACTTTTTGTTTCATTTTATAAAATTATGCATGTGTGAGTTTTAAATAAGTATCATAGGTAGGAAAGAAAAGGAGTTGTGGCTGAAAGACAGCTGGAATGTGCTAAATGTGACAGCTCTCTTTTTTGTTACATTTTGTTTTACTTTTGAGAAGGCAGGAAGAAGGTGACTATTTGGGTCCAAATTAATATTTCATGTAAAATCATCCATGAATATATATTCAGTCATTATAATGATTAAAAATGAGCCATTCTCTTACTTAGGATCTTACTCTCCCTTATGTGCTCAGATAATAGTGATGAGAACCGTGTAAGATAGATGCATGATAGATTTACATGTGTATAGTTCCCATTAATCTTAAACTGAATCACCTCCATATTTCTCTACACATTCAATATCCTCTTTAGTTTTTGAATGTACAGTAACTGTGAAAACCCAAATGCAACATACATACCATTGTATATTGGATTTGTACCATCTATTTGAGGGTTCTTTTCCAGTCACTGTGTATACATGAGTAATTCTCCATGTATGAAAATGAGACTGATACCCCTGAAAAAGTTTCACTGAAAATTTTCTCTGTTTGAGCTTCCCTAAATACTATAATAGTCTGATTACCCATTGCTGAGTACCCACTGAAGTTAATAGGAATTATGGATGCTCAGCACTTTTTAGGATTATATCCTAAACTTTTATTCTCTCTTGGTCTGATTTTACTCCCTTATTCCTGTTGAGTGGTAATTCTATTGAAGTCAATCAGACTACTTCAATAGTAAAGTTCCACCCAATGTAAGGAAGGGTGCCAAAATCAGGCTTTGAGCATGGAAGTACATCCAGGTTTGTGTGGATGTGCCATGGGTAAAGTAACAGGACAAAATAAAGTAACCTCATCCAGGAAATGTATTCATTGCAAACTAAGTATGTATATTTGATATAATTAAGGTAGATGTTCGCTTTTTTTTTGCTAGATCTTCAGTGACTATAACTAAGAGTACACAATTATTTTCTATAAATGTTTATGATGAGGACAATTATGTCCCATACTTATATGGATTTCTGCTCACTTCTTCTACATGAAGAAACACCATAAAACAACTAACATGTTACATAGTAACATACTCCAAATATTCAGGAATTAAACAGCAGATTTAGGAGAGCTAGCAGAGTAACATTACCTGTTGTAATTTGTGAGAATGTGGAGGATGAATTCAGTATTTGGGAGTTCCTGTTGTAAAACAAGAGCAAAGGGAGGAGAAGAGGAACATGAAATAAATAAGAACACTTTATAATAGCCTTTCAGCTGGAAGACGTGCTGATTACAAGGGCTTAACTTGTTACATAAAACTTATGTTTTCTGACCAAACACAACTAAGGATTCCTTAACTGTATGTTCGATTTAAAAAATAAAAGTGGGCATTTCCGTTCTGCTTTTCTCCCAGTCAGCTACTATCATCGTGCTGTCATTTTATGACTAGCTGCTCACTGTGCTTTCATAAGAATATAAAGGAAAATGTCCATAATTTCCTGATCCAATGCACACCATGAGGCAGATCCTTAGCTGGCATAAATTGTCATAGGTCCATTGAAGTTAATCCTCCCCCCCCCCCCCCCGTCCTTTTAGTAGGTTCTCTTCTTACTACAGTATCAAAGACACCAGGAGGGGGCCATATACTCTTTACGGAAGAGTATAGATAAATGTACTGCAAACCCACTAGTGAGAGGTCAGTGATTTTTGTTTTTTGTTTTGGGGTGCTTGTGTGAATGTGAATCTTCTTGCAGATGTGATTTCTTTCCAGGGAAGCAGGAAGAATGGGATGCACTGAAGACACGGCTAGCTAGGTTCAGATGCTTCTATGGCTTGTGTGGTGAAAAATGCTATAGAAACAGGAAAAATACCCTGCACAGAAAGTACCTCTGCACTATGACACATCACTCCAACTTAATGAAAGCAGAAATACACACATCACAAGTTTTGCAGACATGTGGAAAGGGCCTGGGTTGGTAGGGAAAAGTCATATTGGTGACTATTAGCTCGTGTGCATTTACAGCCCAAACTTCAGATATTATGTGCAAAGGAAGCATAGCATTATTTTGTTCAAAGCATCCTGAGAACCCTACCGTAAGTGGAATCAATGACAGAAGGACCTGAGAAAAAGGGATGCTGACAGTGCTGGGCTATGAGTGGAACATGGCGCTGTAAGAAGGCCATGTTAAGCTTGTGATCTGTGTGGTTTCTAGTGTGTTTCCCTACTGACCTATAGCCTATGCATGAATTTTGATTCATGTCACTTCCCCTTCTGACAAGTACCCTGGCATGCTGAAACAGTGGGATGTGATGTAGCACAGTTTCAGTGCTTCTGATGCCTCACATATTTCCTTGTTTCTCCACAGGAGAGGAACATATTGCCCTCAGTGCTTAACATGGTAAACTTCAATAGGGCATTTTGAGTTCAACTTCCAGATCTAGTTAGCTGAAAGTTGAAATACTGAGACAGTCTTCATTACAATAGCAGCAGTAACCCTGTAAAGGTGCTATGAAGAATCTAGGAATGTACATCTTATAAGAAGAAGCTTTGTATAAATGGGATGTTACTCCAGAAACAAAGTCCAGTAGTCAGCAATAAAGGGGTACTGTCCACCTTGTCACATCTGAACAGTTATTTAGAAGTTTTTCTCAGGAGTCCGTTTGTTGTTGTTGTTTTTTTCTTTTGTCTGATTAGTACAGCAGCAGCATATTTATAAAGCAGCCAAAACCAAGCTTATAATAAACACACCAGATAAAATCTGCAGATATGTGCT